AGGGGGTTTGTATAGGGGGTTTGTGTGGGGAGTTTGTGTAGGGGGTTTGTGTAGGGGGTTTGTGTAGGGGGTTTGTGTGGGGAGTTTGTGTGGGGAGTTTGCTGTGGGTTGTTGCCCTTGGGATGCGAGCTGTGCTGTGCTTGTCCTGCAGCCAACACCGGTTATCCTGCTGAAGGAGGGCACGGACACCTCGCAGGGCATCCCGCAGCTGGTCAGCAACATCAACGCGTGCCAGGTGATCGCTGAGGCCGTGCGCACCACGCTGGGCCCGCGCGGCATGGACAAGCTCATCGTGGATGATCGGGGTACGGCGGCTGCTCGCGCTGACGGGGGCACGGGGCACTGCAGCAGCCACAGCCACGCTGGGCTCGGCCTCACAGCACAGCCTCAGCTCTGCCTCCGTGTCCCTGGAAAGGCTGCTCCACCCTGAGGGTCCCTGTGAGCTCCGTGGGGATGTGCAGAGTCACTGGGGCTGGATGTGCCCAGTGTGGATCTGTGCAGGACATGTCCCTGGAAAGGCCAGTCCATCCTGGGGGTCCCTGTGAGCTCCCTAGGGAGATGCAGTCACTGGGGCTGGATGTGCCCAGTGTAGTGACAGTGCAGGACATGTCCCTGGAAAGGCCAATCCAGCCTGAGGGTCCCTGTCAGCTCCCTGGGGATGTGCAGAGTCACTGGGGCTGGATGTGCCCAGTGTGGATCTGTGCAGGACATGTCCCTGGAAAGGCTGCTCCAGCCTGGGGGTCCCTGTCAGCTCCCTGGGGATGTGCAGAGTCAGAGGGGCTGGGTGTACCCAGTGTAGTGACAGTGCAGGACATGTCTCTGGAAAGGCCAGTCCATCCTGAGGGTCCCTGTGAGCTCCCTGGGGAGATGCAGGGTCACTGGATGTGGCTGGATGTACCCAGTGTGGGTCTGTGCAGGACATGTCCCTGGAAAGGCCAGTCCAGCCTGAGGGTCCCTGTGAGCTCCCTGGGGAGATGCAGTCAGTGGGGCTGGATGTACCCAGTGTGGGTCTGTGCAGGACAAACAGAGAGTCTGGAACCCATCTTCAGGTATTTTTTGTCATCTCTGATTTTAAATGAGGCTCATGATAGCTGTGGAGTTACTCAGCAGTTGTGGCTGAGTGTGAGGTCAGTGGATGTCTCTGGGTTGGTTTTTAATTTTTTTTTTTTTCTGGGATGCGATTTAGAGATGAGCTTTGCCCTCACTTTGAAAAGATTTTGAGGAAGTCACCAAATTAATTATTTTTTATTTTTGTTACTGAAGGGTGGAGTGAAAAGGCTTAATATTGTCTTTAAATAGCTTTTACAAATAGGAACTGTAAGAAACCATGTTTCGAAAAGATCATTTGATTTAAATGTATCTTATGATAGATAATACAATTTCTAGGCTCTTGCTTCATGCAAGTATCAGACTAGAATATGGTTTTATTTGTCTGGGGAGGCCTTTGAGAAGAGGAAAATTAATTCCAAGCCTTTGTTGGTGTGGAAAGTTGTTCTGCTGTCAGACTGACCTCACTGAATCTGCTCCACAAATGGGCTGGAAGGACTCGGTTCTGGTGGGGCAGAGGAGCCTGCTGAGCTCTCCTGAGAGCCCCAGATACAGGGTTTTACCCCTGGTAGTGTCAGGCTGCCTTTAACTTCCTTTTGTCCATCAACCCCAGGCAAAGCCACCATCTCCAACGATGGGGCCACCATCCTGAAGCTGCTGGACGTTGTCCATCCTGCCGCCAAGACCTTGGTGGACATCGCCAAATCCCAGGATGCAGAGGTGGGAGGGGAGCCTGGCTGTGCCTGGGGTGCAGCACGGAGCAGCTCGAGTGGCATTGCTGCCCTGGGCTTGCTGCTGGCTGCTGGGAATTGCTCTTGGAGTGCTGGGATGTACTCTGTCTGCTCTGGAGCCAGGCTGGGGGAGCTGGGAATGTTCCCCTGGAGAAGGGGAGGCTCCAGGGAGAGCTGGGAATGTTCCCCTGGAGAAGGGGAGGCTCCAGGGAGAGCTCAGAGCCCCTTGCAGGGCCCAAAGGGGCTCCAGGAGAGCTGGAAGGGACTGGGGACAGGAGCCAGGGAATGGCTGCCAGTGCCAGAGGGCAGGGCTGGATGGGATTTGGGCAGGAATTGTTCCTGGCAGGGTGGGCAGGCCCTGTCCCAGGTGCCCAGAGCAGCTGGGGCTGCCCCTGGATCCCTGGCAGTGCCCAAGGCCAGGCTGGACACTGGGGCTGGAGCTGCTGGGACAGTGGGAGCTGTCCCTGCCATGGCAGGGGTGACACTGGGTGGGGTTTGAGGTCACTCCAACCCAAACCACTCTGAATCACTGAGGAATTCAGCCACAAATCTGTGAGCAGAGAAAATCCTGAGCTCTGGAAGCTCTCAAGTGGTTTTACAGCTGCTCTCAGGTGTTCTCTGCAGTGTGAGGGTGGCACAGCGTGGG